AGCTTTGAAATGTAAAAGTTAAACAGTAGTGGGGAAAGGACACCACCCTGTGGAACCCCCTGTTTTATTTTTCTAAGTTTGCTCGATTTGTCTCTAAACATTACCGACGAGTGTCGACCACTCAGATAATTTGCCGACCACCGTTTGAGCCTCTGTGGGAGAGAGGAAGCCTCTATATCTTCTAGTAGCGTGGAATGGCTGACAGTGTCAAAAGCCTTGGACAGGTCCTACGCTACTAGAATCGTTCTCTCACAGGGACGTTTACAGGTAAATCCACGAGTTATCTGAGTGTTTATGGCGTTAAGTGCTGTTGTTGTACTGTGCACTTTACGGAAACCATGCTGATGCTTCGCTGGGGTCAAGTGGTTTGTGAAGTACGGGAGTAGCAAGGCCTCGAGTGTCTTCGCTACCGGGGAAAGGAGTGTTATCGGACGATAAGAATCTCCTATGTTGGCGGGTTTCCCCGGTTTGAGCAGTGGGACCACTCTCCCCACCTTCCAGATGTCTGGGATGATGAGAGTGGCCATGGAAAAATTGAGGACCTCCGTTAGGTACGCTACCCCCGCAGGACCCAAATTTTTCAGCATCAGCATGCATAGTCAGTAGGGACCCATGGCTTTGGAGGCTTTCGCCTTCCCGATGGTCACCTGAACTTCACCGCAAGTGAAAGCAAGGTGGGCACAAGTTGTTGGCAGTTTGTGCAGCCTTCTGGTCACTCGGCGCGTGGTTTTGTCCACCGGAGGATGCAGTATGAACTGCCGGCTAAAATAGCTCGCGCATCGCTCCGGGTCCGACGAAGCATGGTCGCCGAAAGAAATTTCGACTCTGTCGGCGTGCTTCGTCGGATTGGAAAGTGACCTCACGGTTGACCAAAGCTTACTCACACCAGAGGTGAAGTTACAGGTCTTCAGATGCTCCTCCCACTTCTTCCGCTTATGTACGTTTACTAGTTGCCGAATCTCCGCGTTGAGATCCCTAATACGGGGATCTCCGGGATCGGCCTGACGAAGGCTGTCACGCTCATCGGCTAGAACAGCCGCTTCGGCAGGGAAGTTTGGACGTGGGTCCGTTATACATCCTGCCGGTATGAAGCGAGCTGCAGCAGCAGTGGCAGCCCTGCGGAACTTACGTTCACCGATATGGACGTCGGTTGGTGTGGGGAGCGCTGTGAAGGTGTTTTCGGTAAACTCCGCGTAACCTTTCCAATCAGCTTTAGAAAAGTTGATATAGGTCCGGTGTTTGGCGGAGGCAAAGTCGGTTCGTTTATCTATCGAGATGACTATGGGTTGGTGGTCTCATGCTAGAGTCAGCATAGGTCGCCATGTTATGCTGTTTATCAGACCAGCGCTGACTATTGTGATGTATGGCGAGCTACTGCAGTTACCCATAATCCTGGTGGGTGCGTCGTCGTTCATTGTGCAGAATGTCGAATCGTCTATCTGCTCAGCCAAGTCTGTTCCCCTACGATCGTTTGACAGGCTTGAGTGCCAAAGATCGTGGTGCGCATTAAAGTCACCTACTACCAAACGGTTTTCACCTCTGAGGAGCGCAACTATATCAGGGTGATATCCTGCCGGGCAGCAGGTGACAGGGGGTATGTATATGTTAAATATTTCGAGCTCAACATCGCCTGACCGGAAGCGATACCCTGACATTCTAGGGTGGTATCCCTGCGGTCGATGTCTGCTTCGATTAGACGATACTGCACGGTGTGGTGCGTGATGAACGCTAAGCCACCACCATTATCTCGCTCGCGATCTCGACGGTGCTCGTTGTACCCGGCGCAATTCAACAAAGTTGAATTGATGTGCAACTTCGTCTCTTGGACCGCAGCTATCAATATACCATGCCGACACATGAAGACGGTTATCTCCTCAATCTTGCTCTGTAGCCCGTTGCAGTTAAATTGAAGGAGCTTCATGTGGTTCGGGAGACGTGTCGTGATGTGGGGTGTAAGTGATTTGTGTGTTCTTACCGCCGTTGGCTGTGTGCGCTGTTGTGATGGTTGCCGCCCTGTGGTGGTGGCGGGAGGCGTCGCAATTGAGGTCTGCGACCGAGCAGCGCAACACGGGCCCTCGAAGTTCCCAGTCCAATCTCGCGTGGTACGCAGACCTGAGCATGCACTAAAGTGGCACCAGCCAAGGCAGGTGTTGCACTTGACTGATGTCACATTACGGAATATCCTGGTCTGACATACCGTGCAGATTGTAGGGGGAACCAGGAGTTGTTGGCGGCGGCGTGTGGGTGGTGGTGCGGTTGTGTGTGTTATGTGGTCTGTCGTGGCTGTGGTATGGTCTGTGGTGTTATTGTGTTGTTGTGTTGTGGTGACTGTGTGAGGCTGCTCGGGCGGACTGAGGTTAGCCGTGGAGGCTGCTCTGTTTGAGCAACAGGGGGCCACGTACGACGTGGTCCACTGTCGATGTGTCCGTAGTCCCGAGCAGACTCTGAGGTGACTCTACCCCTCGCAGGCATTACAATTGACTGAGGTGGAGTTGTGGTGTAATCGTCTCCGGCATACACAGCAGGTGTAGGTTTCTGGCCCTGGGTTTGACTCGATGCCAGCCCTGAGTAGAAGAATACGTAGTGAATGTAGCCCTATGGACGGACAACTGCTGAGATACTTCGCCGACCTAAACGGGGTTAGATCGCCGAAACAACAGCCCTTGGTCGGGTAAAACCCGAGTCATTCCGGTACGAAGAACCGGCTGTCGTGGGAATGGCGTAAAACTGTAGGTCCCTCCGCTTTGTGTGACAACATCAAGGCGCACGCCACAAATCGGAGGAGAAGCTCGGCCAGACACTAACATATGTATGTGTAAGCGCCAATCTATTATTATTATGTACAGCAACGCAACCTCAGTTAGGTCGCCGATGGGCAACAGCACTGCAATTAAAATGTATATTATATTATGAATAGCAACTATAGTGCTAGAAAGTTGAAGATAATAGAATTCGAGGTACTAGCAAGCTAGACTTAAGCGCAAAGCTGCAAAAACAGTTGAAAAAATAAATACATTTTCTCAATCAAAGTTTCCCCGACAACCACAAAAATGCTGTCGCCAGCTTTTTGTTATGCTAGTTGGATTTTTTAGTTCACTTTAAAGGTTAGTTCAGTTCCAGTTCGTTCAGCTCAATGAACTATGTAGCTTGTGTGATTCTTCGATCACCCTATTGAACTATAGTTGAACTACTCCTGTTCCAATCGTTCTTCGAATATCGTAAAATGTCCTTCAGATTAGTCAACTGTATTTCAGAAACTGTAGAATGTACTTCACACAAGTCAATCGTAGTTCAGAAACCGTAAAATATACTTCAGACTTTTCAATTGTACTTCAGAAACCGTAAAATGTACTTCAGATTAGTCAATTGTACTTCAGAAACCGTAAAATATACTTCAGATTAGTAAATTTTACTTCAGAAACCGTTTATTGGACTTCCGATTTGTAAATTGTACTTCAAAAACATATGTATAACATTTTTGCCAAAAAATGCACTTACCACAAATGAGCGCTAAACCATGAATATCAAGTAGATTACAAGCAATTGTATGCAAAGTATGTACAGTATTGGCCAATACAATAGCACCCCCATTTCAAAGTGATATTGTTTGCCACTCATGTTTATTTATTTATTTTTAAGAATTTTCAATTAAAATACAGTTAATTCTCTCACAAAACTCACATAAACTCAGGTTTAAAACTTTTTAAAAGACCGCAAAAAAGTGCAACAAATTTTCACCAATTTCAAACTTTTTTCTCAGAAGCGGTAGAATTTTTTTGAATACACAGTTTTATAGCCCATTCAATTTTAGTCTAATAATGTGCAAGTTTCAAGTGGCTAAAAATTACCGTTGATTTTTTAGAATTTTATTCGCCGAGGATGTTACGGGTTTCTGCCATATAAAAATAAATTGTGTTTAGTCGTTATATGGAAGCAAATGAGACAAAAAAAATTCTAAAAAATCAACGGTAATCATTAGCGACTTGAAACTTCCACATTATTGGACAAAATTGAATACGCTATAAAACTGTGTACTCAAAAAAATTCTAGAGCTTCTGAGAAAAAAGTTTGAAATTTAAGGGAAAGTTTGTTGCACTTTTTTGCGGTCTTTTAAAAAGTTTAAAACATTGGTTTATATGGGTTTTGTTAGAGAATGAACTGTATTTTAATTGAAAATTCTTAAAAACAAATAATTAAACATAAGTGGCAAACAATAACGCTTTGAAAGGGGGGTGCTATAGATATGTCCAATACTGTATGTATGCACATACTATATGAAAATAAACCGCATTAGATATAGCACTATGCTTGCAGTATATACATACATACGTACACTCGATTGCAATTTTTTGCAATTGAAGCAATTACAAAGTGGTTTCTAAATACATTTTACGGTTTCTGAAGTTCAATTGATTAATCTGAAGTACATTTTTCGGTTTCTGAAGCACATTTTTTTGTTTCTGAAAAACAATTTACGAATTTGAAGTACATTTTATGGTTTCTGAAATACAACTGACTAATCTCAAGTACATTTTTCGGTTTCTGAAGTACAATTGACTAATCTGAAGTATATTTTACGGTTTCTGAAGTACAATTGATTAATCTGAAGTCCAATTAACGGTTTCTGAAGTACGTTTGACTAATCTGAAGTACATTTGATTATTTCTAAAATATATTTTACGCTTTCTGAAGTACTATTAAAAAAGGTGTAGTTCTGTAGTAAGAGCTGAGTTACAGAACAATAGAAATGTAATGTTTTATAAAACATGCATACATATAAAAGATTGCAATAACGACACAATTGGGTCGCCTTTCTGCAAGTTCCTGAAACTATGTTCATGGAGATTTGCCTTCGAAATGCGAGTAAATTGCGCTTCGCTTTTGCAAAGATAAAAACTGTTGTTAAACAACGAATCCCAAAAACTCAACTCAAACACTTACTTTTTAACACAAATTATACTAAATGATGTAAAACATTCAAAATTAAATGAAATAAAATGTCTTTTTAAAATAAAATGTATTTCTATTAGATATACAGAAAATGTGTAAAAACTTATGGTTAATGTTTGTCTTCACGACATAATTTAAGTAACCGCTAACCACGATCAGAATAAAGGTGAACATTTCTCCTTACACTTTCTTTAGAAATACGTGAACTGGTTTGATAAAAGCATAAAAGCTTGTTACTAAAAAACCTTTTTCTACAGTATTTAATTCAAGTATCTTATTACTTACTGTCCACTATAATCACGATTTCTCGCTTGGCGACCTTCCTCTTTATCGAAACGACGGTTTTCTGTAATTTAATTTGATAATTAAGTATTGAAAACTACATAAAAGACTGAAACTTACCATTTCTCTGCGTTTCTAGACTCTCTGAATTTCTTTCCAAACTATGGTTCTGCAGCGGGTCGTTTTTTCTACGCCAGCTTGTAGTGTAGTTCATATTATCTTTGTTGATTTTCTCTAATTGAATATTTCCAATCTCCTCATTTATAATGCTTTCATCAAGTTCATGTTGAGCCTTATGCTGGCGACGGGCTTCTGACATTCGCTCTTCAATCTCCAATTCGCGAGTTGCCGTATCCACAGGTCTTGCGGAACCAAAGACTTTTTCAGAAGGAATACCGGTAGCTTTGAAAATAGCTTTACTTTCAACTTTTGATTCCTTGTCGGTTTCTAATTCTTGATTGACAACTGGTAGAGGTAGTGTTCTAGGCTTCAAATTCAGTTTGGGTCTTTCTAGCTCTTGGGTTTCCTGGTTTGAAATTCCCGATTTGGTTCTTTCAGCATCATCACTTCTTAATTTTAAACCTAGATTTTGATTAGATAGTGTTCGTGTTCCAGATCTCCACGATCCAATAGTTTTCCTATCATCTGACTCATATTTTTTTTCACGACTAAAGTTTCGCTCATAATTGTCACTTGAATGATTGTTATTGTCACGACGCCAATTCGTTGAGTCTCTATTTTCTCCGCTATTGTTAAACCCATCAAATCCACGTCGATTGCCTCTTTGCCTAAAACCTTGCTCATTTTCATTCGATAATTCAATTCGAATTCTCCTGCCTTTAACTGATGGGTCAGGTAAACTTAAAGTATTGATCAAATCATCGCGATTTTCAAACTCAACATAGCCAAAACCGCGAACACGACCATTTTCCCCTTCTTCGCGTGGTAAACGCAGTGATAATATTGGTGTTGATCCAAAGAATTCATGTATATCCTCTTCCTTGGCATCAAAAGGAAGGTTGGTCAAATATGCAATATATGGCGGATTTTGTGGAACAGAGTCATCATCAAAGATACGATTAGCTCTGGGTGCTGTTGGAAGTTGGAGAACTAACGGCATTGTAGTCATCCCATCATCGCTTTCTTCACCATCCAGATTTCTCACTTTCTTTGTTACTTGAGTGGTTCCAAGGGGTACATCTCCATTTGCCAAAAAAGACTGCAAAGATATTACAGTTCCTTTCTTCTTTCCTTTTTTGCCTAAAACCATTGCAGAACACATAATGTAAAACTGGATTTATAAACATAAATAAATAAATATGTAAATAAATATAAATAACTAAATTTATTTCCTTTCTAACGTTTTTGTTTCTTTGCGTAGCCATGAAAAACATAATCGAAAATCAAGTTCCTTAGCTCCGAATTCCTTTTTAACCCTGTAGTTTATTGAAGACTGTAACAAATTTTATGCTGAAGTTACTTTTTAAGTTTTAATAAGATTTTAGTGGGTAATAACTGGACTGGAATAAGGATTGTATGCCGACGACATCGGCATTATCATCACACAAACAGTCAGATCATACGCGTGTGGCACCCACGTCACTGTGGACAGTTACAAGTTTGAAAAAGTAGAAAAATTCGTTTATTTGGAAACCAGCATTAACACCAATAATTATCTCAGCCTTGAAATCCAACAGAAAATCACTCTTGCCAACATGTGCTACTTTGGACTCAGTAGGCACTAGAGAACCAAAGTCCTCCTTCGTCGTACTCTGTCACACTCTATAAGTCACTCATCATGCCTGAGCTGGTGTATGGCGGGGAGGCATGGACAATGATTCTGCGAAAGATTTACGTGCCTTTGCGCGTTGGCGAAGGCGAATACCGCAGACGATTTAACGATGGGCTGTATTAGTCTAAGAGCTAGCAACGTTTTCGAGAGAGAATTTCAGGACAACTGGTTTTTTGATATGACATCTCTCTCACTCCCTCGATTAGCGTGGAGGCCATCTGGCAGGCGGTAATGGTTGCGATGACTAGTGCGCATCGTATCTTTACAGTTAAAAATGCTAATTGTTTAAATCATTTTTGTAAGGCTAATTTTCTTTTCATTGGCTTTAACTAGCTTTTAGAAACGTAGATTTATTATTGCTAGACATGTCCGCTGTTGCGTTGTTGTTGTGCCAGAAGTAATTTTTTATTAAAAAATAATAATTTTTCAACTCATTTTAGTAAAACTCAAAATTTAATATGATGTTGTTTAAGTTCTAATGAATCTAAAATTAATTTGCCAGACATTAATTCGGTTGCTAAAGCAAGACCCAAACCGATTTAATAGGGAGATAGTAGCAAAATAGTGAATTTCCATAGGATTTTAGAACGAAAACTGGAAACTATAACTACTTATCTAACATTATGACATAAATGTAATTATTGGAATATCAAATATTTAATATTTTTTTCAAATACATACGTTAAGGCAAATAAAAACTTAAAACATTTCAAAAAACATCAACTTGTATAGTATCGGAATTTTTGTAAGAAAAGCAAAAGAAAAATGCAAACATTTTGATATTTATAACATTATTATAACATTTTTTTACTTATAAATGTGTCATAAAAACACTGACTTCAACAAATATGCGCACTGGATGCCACTATCCAACTCCTATGCAGAATCGCTTGCTGATTCCGAAAATCGAGCAATTTTTCCATAAATAAGTTTTCGAGATATTTGCAATTTACCGTTATTCAGCTTAAATAAAGTTATAGTTTAAAAAACAAAAATCTCGCTATTAAAATTTCCATTCGTACTGACATCAGGTTACTTTAAGAATGGAAATTTAAAGCAATTCCCATTCGTACTGTCATCAGGTCAGTGATCGGACTTAATAAAAATTCTGTGTGGTAGATTCTGAAAAAAAAATGTGATAGATTTAGAAAAAATGTGGTAGATCTCAGGTTTCGTATTAAACCGTTTTACAAAGATTTAAAAAAAAATCTGCACGGTTTTACCTTAACTGAAAACTTTTTAATTCGAATATCTAGAAAAATCTTTTAACTTGGGTTTTGCCAATTTTGACAATCCTCAAGTAAAACTAAACAACGCGTTAAAAACTTTAGATGCACTGGAATGTGCTAATACTTTCACAAAAATCGCCGATTTTTCACATTTTCTTTATTAGTTCTTTTTATAAATCATATATTTTCCAATTTAGCATGATAAAATCACGTTTCCCGGCGAAAAATTTAATGTTGAGAAATTGAAAAAATTCACTGTTTGCCAGTTTCTTTTCTCTTCCCATTCGGCTTTGTTTACTTTTACTTGAGAAACCTCATCGCCGCACAGTGGTCCAATCTGCTCTATTAGGATAATTTAATTGTTATATTAAGAACTAAGATAGATATCGGGATGAAATTTCTCACAAATTACGTCTGAATGACTAACAACTTCTGCTCATAACCACGCCCACCAACCATATAATTAAAAAATCGTTAAACTTTTCGCCAATTTCTGGTATATTTTTTAAGCACTTGCGCCCGGTTATAGATACCTGCATACCTACAACTTTTTTAACTCTTTGGGATGAATTAAAATTAGAAAGTCCGTTATGTATATCGAGGGCTTATATTCAATACCCTCTATCTGCAAAAACTCAATTTTTCAGGAGAGCAAAAAAACTGTTTTGGCAGCTGTTTTTAAAAGTGTTAATAATTTTAAGTACACGCGCATGTCTTAAATATTCACGCAATATACTAAAACTAGTTTTTTACTTTTAATTCATTTAATTTTAGTTTAAAGTTGAGATAGAGGTTATTGCAATTCGAATTATAACTATTTATATAGAAAAATTTGCTGATAGAGGGTTTTGCAGAATAATGAAAATGTCAGTTCTTTAGACGTAAATACTATGTTAAACTAAGATTTTAATGCAGAAATCATAGGTGTGAAAATTCGTTCCCTTCTATTCCGATGTGCCCAGGTAACCACATAATTTTAAATGTGTTTTTGTGTCAAAAGAGTATTTCACGTGATTTCGAAATTATATGAGAGTCATTAGCACTGTTAAAAGAGGCTTCGCTGACTGGTTTACTGTCCGTTCAGATGAGGAAATTTCCTTCGTTTATAGAGGCGAAACGTACAGCTGATTCGGCTGTAAATGCCGAGCTGTACGGGGGAAAAGCACTGAAGACAATTGTAACACCCAGCCCTTTTGTTACCACCATATCTGGAACCGTCTGCGAAACCAGGTAATTTATGAGTATCAAACTGGGCAAATGCCCTTGCGGTAGAGTTTTTACTTTAGTAAGCATCGGATGATGTCGAAATCTTTGATGTAGCTTAATATACGAAATAAAAGTGATTGCTTGCTACATCAGTTTTTTTGTTAAAAGCAGGATTCGACGTGAGAGATAGCTTTTATTGGCGAGGTGGGAAATGCACGGATGATTTTTCTCCTCTGCTACATAGTAAGGTGTTTCTAGCAATTTAAGATGTTTTTTTGCGCAGTGTCCATAAATTACGAGCCCAAAGTCAACTTTTACATAATGACAGTTCTGCTTAAAAGTAGGTTTATTGTAAAAAATCATTCCAAATATTTTCAATGTATCAGTATAGGGGAGGGGTGTTAGACAAGGAGAGGGTTGGATATATGTATTTATTTGTATTTTCTGCATATGTGAAAAAATTACTTTTTCAGCTTAAATCTGAGTTCCTGAAGATTTGGACCAATTGATTACATCGTTTAGTATGTTAGAAAAAATAATTTTTACTTGCGTCAAGTCCTTAGTCTTAGAAAAAATTAAAATATCATTAGCGTATTTAGTTTGGCAATAGGAATAATAATAGCAGTTTCCCACTCTTGATGATATAACCCTTGAAATAAAATGTAGTTATGGAGTTTAATGACTCTATTTTTGATGGGATACGGATGATTTTTTAGAACGGCGTACGGGATTTTGCCTGCACCAGGGCTTTTGCCTGTCATCGAAGAGATGGTTGGTCAAACTCTTAAATAGATATGAGTAAGAGAGAATTGTGGGAATCTTCGGACCAAGTGGAGGCAAAAAATTGCCATTATTTCGCGTGTGTGTCCAAGGAATTTTGACATTTTGATACTTCACAGCCTGTTGCCTCACTCTTTCCTCAAGAAATAATGAAACGGGCATATATTTCTGTTGCAAAACTGGGTTGCCTTATGCTCTTTCTTCACAAAAAACTTTAGAAAACCGTAGTAGAAAGCGTAGTAAATTTCTTAAGAACTGCGTACTGCCTTAAGGAAATTTGACTCAAGAAAATTTCTTAGCCATTTCTTGTACGTCATTTTATATGGAGCTTTTGCTTTTCTTGAGAGCTGCATACAGGCCTTTACCAGAATCTCACTAGAATAAAATATGTATTCATTTTTAGTATCGGCGTATATGTAAATTCAAAACTTTAAAGCCGTCTTTCTCGAGTTTTGATTTTTTGAGTTATGACATTATTGTAGTAAATGAGCGGACATGTATATACCTGTAAGCTACCGGCCAAACCCCATCTTAGAATAAACTATTTTTTTAACTCTCATCATCAGTCCAACTGAAGCTACGCAGTCCACAAGATTTGGTTTCGGTTGGACATCGCATTAGGTAGAACAAGTTTAGCCTGGGCAAAACTAGTTTGACCTAAGATCGGATTTTACCGGAACATATACATACATGCATCGGCACATGTAACTTACCCAGTCTTTATTTGACCTGCCACAAAAAAATGGTAATGAAAACGATTTTCCAGCAAAATTGTGTAGATAGAGGATTTTGCTTTTGTAGCAAAATGTTATTGCAGATAGTGGATTTTTCAAAATGAGAATATAATACCATAAAAGCAAAATTTTAAGTTTGGCATTATTGTCATGGCTGAAGGATAAATAAGAGCTCACGTTACCATCAAAAACTCATTTTCATCAAAATTGTAGATAGAGGGTATTGAATATAAGCCCTCGATATACTGTATTGACGCCGGATCCGAATGTATAAAATAAACCGGATGTATAAAATAAAAGAAAACTGCTAAAAAGCCAGATCAAGCTTAACAAGTTTTAGGGCCGTTTCCTCATCTAACCTTTAGATTACCGGCCACTTTATCGTATCGATATACGAGTTTTCGTTTTCTCATCAGCGCATTAATTTCTCGAATTGATAAATTGTTGCTCACCCGATGCAACCCCTAAAAATGAGTACCCAACTTTAAATTTTGGTTCGGTTTTTGTTCATGAGTCAGATATATTAGATATTTCAACCAAGGTTTTGGTTTT